CACACAGGAAGTGTGTCAAGCACCTTCCTGCACAAGGGCTCAGACTCATAGACTTGAAGGCCAGAAAGGACTATCGTGATCATCCAGTCTGACCACGATAGGCCACAGAACCTCGTCCAGCCACTCCTGTCTTAGACATCCCTCTCCCACACACACACACATTCTGGCCAAGTTACTTAGGTTCCCAAATCATGCTTCCAAGATTTCAAGTTACAGAGATCCCCCCCATGTACACTAGTGTAAACCTGCAAGTGACCTGAAGCTGGAATGAATGTTACAAGGCCATGAGTGTGATGTGCCGCAGTGTTTGACAAATTATAGATCAAAGCAACTTGTCATACTTTGTCATAGACACACAATCAGTGACACTATGGCCTTCATTCTGCAAAGTCCATACATTCCTTTACTAAACTCAAAGGCTGAATGGTATCTATACAATTACACTCTCCATATCTCAAACCCCCCAAAATAAGCAAATTGCTACATCCAAATAATAAGCAAACCATTTATAAGCATTTGATTGAGATACTTACAAACAGGCTAAGCCCAAGATGCATGGCTCCAACTTGGTTAGGCAGGAATTAGCAATAAACCCTTTCAGAATTTAGTTTCTTATGCCCATTGATCAGTGATGTCATTGCCAAGTGTCAGACTTTAACTCTGCCCAGATCAAGGAAGTTCTTACCTAGCCAATTATTTATTGCACCTAGTTCCCAGTTAACTGCATTTTATTTCCATTACTTCATCAGTCCAAACCATAAATGAAAACACTAATAGTTCAAAAGATTGCTACAAATTTAACCTTACAACTCTTCTTTCTCATGATCTTGTTCTTTTTGGTGCTGAAAGCTAATGACAACTAACAGTTCAATTTAAAACCATAGATGATTCATATGTAATATGGGTCTATAGTTCCACACCTACTTGCAAAGTATAAAGTTAAAGTACACATGTAAGTCTTTGCAGAAGTGGACCTAAGAGACCAGGTTCTACAAGTACCTCCTACAATGTTTTTCCAAATTAAGAAGCATAGCTGGATGAGGCATTTAAAAACCGAGGAACCATCGCCACCAGAGCCGCGGCAGCCACAGACCTGGGAGCAGCCTTGGATGGGCTGACTGGCTTCATGTCTGGAGAGGGCCTCCTCCCAGAACACTGTCCGTCTTGATAACAAACCCAGTCTCTCCTCCCCAGTCCCCATTTCTTCCATCTCCAGGGAACCCAGAGACATGGGGCAGGACCTCAAGGGTAGTTATACCCTCCAAGACCTCTGGAGGCAAAAGGCAATCCCACAGGTGTTCCTGAGTTCCCTCCTCACTTCAGGTTCTCAATTCTTCCATTTCCCAGCTGTTTTCTCTTAATTACCCTCCTGTTCTTTGAACAACTGGTCTCTCTAGTGCTTGAACTCCAGGGGGAAGGTGGGAGATTAAAAGCAAACACAGGGAATGCTGGGGTAACTTGTTGAGATCCATGTGGCAGAGTCTCAGAACTGCCATGCATTCAAGGCATCTCTGATTTGTTCTGCCCTTTGCTGTGCTCCCCTTATGGTGCTGGCATCCAGCTGCTCAAACTCTCTGGCTAGGCGCTCTGCCTCAGCTCCCCACCTTGCCTGATAAGTTTCCCACCTTGCTCTCACACAGATTATGGAGCACGCAGTAGGCTGCCCCCACAGGGAATGTTGCATTTGCTGAGGTCCAGCTGAGTCAGGAGACTCCTAAACCTTCCCCTTAAACGTCCAAAAGCACATTGAACCACCAGTCTGCACTTGCTCAGCCTGGTGTTGAACTCCTTCTTGCTGGAGTCCAGGCTGCCTGTGTACAACTTCATGAGCCACGGGAGCAAGGGGTAGGTTGGGTCACCCAGGATTACACTGGGTATTTCCATCTCTCCAAATCTAGTTTTCCTGTTTGGAAAAAAAGTCCCAGCGTGCATCTTTCTGAAGAGGGAGGTGTTCCATGACATGTGCCTTTCCGGACCATCCCACATTGGTATCAGTGAAGCAGCCCTTGTTATCCACCAGCACCTGCAGCACCATACAGAAGTACCCCTAGCAGTTTATGTACTCCATGGAATAGTGGTCAGGGCTTGGATGGGGCTGTTGTTCCATCTATAGCTCCACGACAGCTGGGGAAGCCCATGGCAGCAAAGCCATCCTCTATGTTGTCCATGTTCCCCAGAGTCTCAACCCTCTGTAGGAGAATGTTACTGATCTCCCTGGCTACATGCATAACAGCAGCCCACACTGTAGATTTCCCCACTCCAAATTGATTCCCCACTGAAAGGCAGCTATTTGGTGTTGCAAGCCTCCAGAGGGCAACTGCCACACCCTTCTCCAGCATCTCATTCAGGGATTATGGCACCTCCGCACAGGGACGAGCCATTCACAAAGTTCCAAGAATGTGGCCTTGTGCATTTGGAAGTTCTGCAGCCACTGCTGATTGTCCCATCTCTGGAGCACATGGAGGTCCCACAATCATGGTTTGAGCTTATACCATGGTGCTAGAATCAGCATGGTAACCCAGGATTGGGTGGCAGCTGCAGTAGCATCAGTGTCAAGCCTTGCATGGGCATTGACTGTGTATCACGTTGAGCTATATCCTTGTCCTTTTATTGGAGGAGCAACATGCGTACGCTCTCTGAGTATGGCACTTTTAGGCGCACCACAACACACATCAGCATCATGATGATTTGCTATAAACTGAGCTCCATGCTTGCATAGCTCTAGCCTCTGCATGTGCAACCAGGCCAGAAAAAGGCACGAGTGCATTGCCTGCCTTTTATTTCATGTGAATGGGGAGAGACTACACAAGTGCCTAATGGGATGCTGGCGACATGATCCCATTACCACCCGCTGCATAGGCTGGATCCCAGTGGGCACTGTGAGCATGGCTCATACTGCAGAGCTACCCATGGTGCATTACTCTCTGGGGGTATGTTTACACTACCACCCTAGTTCGAACTAGGGTGGTTAATGTAGTCATTCGAAGTTGCAAATGAAGCCTGGGATCTAAATATCCCGGGCTTCATTTGCATCTTGCCAGGCGCCGTCATTTTTAAATCCCCGGTAGTTCGGACTCCGTGCCTGCGGCTACACATGGCACGGAGTAGGTAGTATGAATTAGGCTTTCTAATTTGAACTACTGTTACACGAGGTGTAACGGCAGAGTCAGCTATTGAGGTGGCATGGGGGCAAGGGCACCATTTCAGGAGAACAGGGAGAGAGGGGGCAGCAGTAGAAACTACACAGATGTCATGAACTACTTCTCTGCCCCCTCCCCTCACCAGCCAGGAGCGAGAGGCAGGCCCAGAAGCCCTGTACTTTCCCCTCACTCCATGATAGGGGAACGGGAGGAAAAGCAAGTAGCATCCTGGTATGCATGGCTGCTGCTCCCCTGCTCCCCCCCCCCCCTTGAATGGCTGGGGGGATGCAGCTGATTGATAGCAAGCAATGGCCCTCATCCAGGGCTGGAGGAGCCCAGGATCCTGGGAAGCAGCGGATGGAGAGAAAAGGGAAGGGATCATCCCCAAGAAGCAGCAGCTCTCAGGGTGGCTGGAGGAGACTGTGGGCCTGACTGGCTTTATGGGTGAGCGATTGCCTAGAGCACAGTGATCACAGCAGCAGTGGCGCTTTTGGCTCCCCAGGGCGCAATGCAGCTGATGGGGTCGAAGGTGAGGAGTGGCAGATGGGGGCTGCCTGGCCCGGCCTGGCTGCTGGGGCTTCAGGAGGTGCAGGACTGAGGAACTGCTGTGAGGCTCCCTGTTCCAGCTGCTGCCACTGCTGTCATGCACTCAGCCTGCCTGCAGGAGCTGCATGTGGCTGCACATCCTGGCTCCCCTCCAGGACATGCTGCCTCCCTCAGCCCAACTGTGAGTAGGAGCCATGTAACCCAGAGCCTGAAGTAGCAGGCATCCCCTGCCCCACTCATCTCTCACCTGCTCCACTCCAGATGGGAGTAGGGAAGCTGCCTCTGCCTGAGCTGAGATCTGGGCTCCAACAAGATCTTCTGCTCTGCCTTCCCTCGCAGAATGGATCCATGATTTGTTTCTGTGCCCACTCTGTCAGCCGGTGGTTGGGGCAGTGAGTGGTCTGTGAGCCCTATTAAACACCCGAGTCTTCAACTGCTAGGATAGGGTCCCTTCGCAGCGGGCAGCCAGGAAGGCTGACAGGTGCCCCACGGGTCTGCCCTGTGGAGGCATCAGAACCCAATGCCCAGCTCTCAGTGAGTCTACCCCGACTGGCTATAGTTTTTTTTTTTTTTTTTTTGTCTGGTTCTGTTACAGCAACAGAAGGAGTCAGGTTAAAGCTTAAACAGTTACAGGTTTATTAGAGAAAACTTATAATCATACGGTTACAATGGCTATTGCTCAACTTCTTAACTGCTAGCAAATACAGATCTTAAATGGTTACAAAGGAAAAGAGGGAAACAAAACACACCAGTTGTATTAGCGTACAACTTAGCCTTATATAGAGCTCTAATGCTATACGTGCACAATTACAAGAAGAAAATGGACACATATAGGTACAATTTTTACCTCCTTCTGCGTCTCTCAATTCCAGCGTGTTAGGCCAGGATCGGTCATTCAATTCCTCGGAAAGACAAATACGAGACTGGGCGTCCCTATGTGGACCTTGGGAGTCAATCACCTAGCCCGACCAGCAGGCAGCTGATGGACTTATATTCCAAGTGAGTGTGCTGCTGGGCCCATCTTTATACCCATGCGGTCACGTACTCTCTTTCTTATCTAAGGTGCCAAATTGTGACGCCAGTTCTTACAAGGGAGTTGTGAACGTAATTTACACCTGTGAGAGAGAGATAACTAAATTGGGAGTACTGGGACATTCTTTACTCAGCAGGCGATTCCTCTCCCGGGATAGTTTTGTGATCATCTCAATATTGGTGCTAGCCAAGGGCAGTTTCTGCAGCCTCTTGGTCGGCGACTGGCTTGATGGCTCTCTTATCTATGTTTACAGTTGTCCAGGGTCACGATGAGCCAGCATATACGGGCCTTCTGTCAAGGCATCAAAGATTATGCTGATTTTATTGCTCTCTCTGCCCTGTGTGCTTCTGAGGCATCTTAGAGAGGCAAGCAAGATGGATGTGGCAGGGGGTTCCTGTCTGGCTACACAATCACCTAGGGGAAGGGTGATGTTTAGAGCAAGGGTTAAAGTGAGGGTTAAGGCAGAGCAGGAACAGGAGAGGAAAGGAGAAAGGCAAGAACCCCACTAGAGAGCTAGCTCTGTCCCACACCTGCGTAGAATGGCCCTGCAAATTACCATCTGCCTCCATGGGGCTGCTGAAATTGCCCATCTGCCTCTTTTGTGGGATGAAGGTGGGGGCTGCTGGGAAGAAAGGCTCAGGCAGATAGCACTGGAGCAGTGACACTCATTTCACAGACAGGAGAGCCTTCACCTCATAGGTATAAAGAAAAGGCTACTTTTAAAAGTCAATACAGAAAAACAGAGAGTTTGAGTATGTGATGCAGCAACAAAAATACATCACACATGGGGCCAGGTGTTTGATACCCCAGCTTTATAAAGGCAATCAATCCCCCCATTATACCCTCTTACACCAACAAATTCCTTTAAGGGAGTCAGAAACTGCCTCAAGATTTACTGATACCCCATACAGCCTTGCATTTCTAGCCAATGAAGGCAGTATGTAGCAATGCTAAACAGCAGCACAAGTCCGATGTCCCAACAGTGCATCACAAAAATGTTCCGCACCACGTCTGCACTTTGAGCTGTTAGTCTGCAGATGAATGCACAGCACTGAAACAGAAGACATGCCATCCTCCTTGTCTTTGTACCTGGCTTCTGAGAGCTGTACCTCCATAATGCACAATTGATAAGCCATTTTTTATGTTGTGCCCAGAGTCCAACTCCGTGGCTGTTGTTTCATCGATGTGATTTTCGGACAAGCTATGAAAAAAAAAATGAACCATGACAAAAACCAATCAACCTGGTGGCAAATTTGTAAATATTTATCAACTATTTATTTGTGGAAATGAAGCCTAAGACAGCATTGCAAGTTTAAAACCAGAGATGACAGGAAAGTCAATGTTATAATAAGAAAGCTGCACTAAGAAAAGACTGTTTTAGAAAGAATAGAAATGTAGAATTATGGTTCCTCAATAACACTAATCCTGTCATCCTCCCCGCCCCAAATCCTGCCATTCTATACCCTTCAGGTGAGGGAAATGTGTGTCTAAAAGCATCAGAAAGTAACGTGTTAAATCGCAGATAGCTTAGCAGTTCAACAAGGAATCTCTCAAACCCCACGTTAGTGTAGAGATTTGACTGCAGGCTTCTTAAATCCCATCCCACCTATGTCATGTAGCTGAATGTACCTAACCGACCAGCAAAGGAAGAGGAGATGTGCAATGCGGAGAGCTGATCACTGTGGAGAGTGAACGGTCAAACAGAGCATGGAACAAATGGACAGCACAAGGTGTGATCAAAGGTATGTCTGCCCCTTTTGAATTTTCAGAGCCCTAGCAGGGCGCCTGTGTTCCCAGAAAGGTGCTGTTCTCATCACAAGAGATAGGGAACGAATGCAGAAAGTGCAAGTTCACATCCCCATTAGTTATTAGACAGACAAGATGCATTGGAGCACCCAGGACAGAAGAACTGGGCAGCGGTAACAGCCTAGCAGCTAACAGCACCTTAGCCAGAACATTCCACCCTTTGACACACAACTACAAGAAACATCAGGTAGAATAGAAGAGGCACCCCAGGCCTTTAGAAAACTTCTTCACTGGATACTCAGTCAGGGTATGTCTACACTAGCCACCCTAGTTTGAACTAGGGTGGCTAATGTAGTCAATCGAACTTGCAAATGAAGCCTGGGATTTAAATATCCCAGGCTTCATTTGCATGTTCCCGGGCACTGCCATTTTTAAATGCCCTGTAGCTCTAACTACCTGCCCACGGCTACACGCGGCACGGGCTAGATAGTTCGAATTAACACTCTTAATTCGAACTACCATTACTCCTCCTGTAACTCAGCAACTTTGCTTTATAAGTTCAGAAACTTACTGTAAGCTGCAACTTTGTAATCTTTGTAACTCTCCGCCACCTTCCTTGTAACTTGCTCTAAATTTCATTCTCCCCTGAGTGATGAAGGTGTGTCTTCATGTGTCTGTGTGTGTGGTAGGAGTTACAAGGCCGAGGCACATGGAGAACATGGTGATGAGTCATCAGAGCCTGCTGCTTTGCTGGATAAAGTGAAGTCTGGGCATGCTCCCTGGTGATGAGGTGGATGAGTCAGAGGAGCCATACAGACATAGTAAAAGGAGGGCGAGCACACAGCAGAAGCCTCTCTTTTTTTCCTCCTCCTGAGAAACTCTTCTTTCTACAGCCAGTCTCTTTTCTGACCAGCTCCCCAGCCATGATCAGCAGACAGACCCTCCAGAATATACATGCCTTGGCTCCTTCTGCAACCCATATGCCTGTGTAAGTTTGTGAGTGCCGGAGGGCAGGAATGAATGTGTATGAATGATTGAATGAATGGAGGTGTGTGTGTTGGTGTGTATGTGAGAGAGATAACTGTTTCCCCTTTAGTTTAAACCTTTGGTGGCAGCTCTATCTTTAGTTTAACTTTGTAGTGCATATAGTGGAGTGTTAATTCCTCAAGCAATAAACCCATAATAGTGTAACCTTGGGGAGTCTCCAGTGGGAATTTTTGAGGGTAACACCTGCTGCAAAAGCAGATGTCACAGCTGGTAACCAGCCCCCCTGCAGCAGTGGGATGGTGCCCAGTCTCTCCCAGCACCTGGCCAGCAACCAGCCCTGGGGCCACCAGAGAAGCTGGCCAGTGGCTGGCCCTGGAGTTCTCTGGAATAGCAGCCCCCAATGGCTCTCCCCATAGCACTCCTGCTGTTAGTCCAACCAACCAGCCGGGTCCAGGGTATTTTTGGTAAAATTGAAGGGACAGCTTCCAGGCTTCTGTGAATTTCTGCTTGTTGCCCATGACCTCTCCCTCACTGTTACTAAAAATACCCACGGAACCTTATCCATAATGCAGCTGCGACAGCCTCCTTTCATAGGGGTGTGAAACATGGACAGCTTACTACAGACACAGTAAGCCACTTCAAAACTTCCATGTGTGCTCTCCCCACTTCATTCCGATGGTCAATGGCAAGACAAAGTCCCCAGTATTAACGTCCTTGAAGGAGCAGAGCCAAGGGCAGACATGACTGGAGAGCTACGGTCAGTGATGGTTGTGAACAGTTTGAGGAAGACAAACAAGAAAAATTGATCATTGTCTTCGGTCCACCCCCTCTGGGGCACCTGCCGCTGGCCACTGTCAGCAGACAGGCTACTAGGCTAGATGGACCTTTGGTCTGACCCAGTACGGCCATTCTTATGTTCTTATGCTTCAGCTAAACTCCCCCTCCCCTTTCACTCGCTGCTGGGTCACAACAGCCTTTTCCCTGCCCTATCCTGTGCCCCCCCCCATGGACAAGCACCCCTCACTCCTGACCTACAAGGGGAGCAGGGTGCAAGGTCAGCGCAGAGCCAGAGAGGCATGGGGAACAGCGTTCACCGTGTGGAATGGGAAGCACAGAGCCAGAGGGGTGCACGGGTGCTGCAGAGAACGGGAGGCGCAGAGCCAGAGGGATGCAGGGATTGGGAGGAGCAGGGTGCGGAGTGCAAGGGTGGTGCAGAGGAAGATAGTCGCAAGGAACAGGGAGAGGAGGGGAACCGGGGTGCAAGGGAGCAGGGTGGAGGGTGGAGGGGCGGTGCAGGGAATGAGCGACATAGAGCCAGAGGGGTGCGGGGCAGGGCGCGTGCAGTGAGCCGGGTGGCCGGCAGGGAGTGGTCTCTCGCCGGCGAAGGCGGCTGGGGCTGGAGCTGGGGCTGGGGCTGTGGCAGGACTGGATCCAGTGGGGTGGGACGGGGTGGAGCATGGCCACGCCGCACTCCGCAGCCAGCTCCTGGGGACACACAGCCAGAGCCGAGCTCCCGTGGCCCTTTAAAATCGGTGGGGTGGGGCAGGGCAGGGCCGGGCATTGCCAGGGGTGGCTGTTTACCTGGAAATGCTGTCTCTGGAAATGTGCCACCCCAAGCACATGCTTGATTTGCTGGTACCTAGAGCCATCCTTGGGTGGTGGTGAGGGGGCACACATACTTGATGCACTGCCCCACCTCCACCTTTCCCAGAGTGGTAGCAAGGCCTCAGAGGGGGCGAGGATGTGGGTGGGGCTAAGGTCCTGCCTCCCCTATCTCCAGCTGTACCAACTGCCCAGCATTGTTCCAGACAGTCACAGGCTGCTTTGTGCAACCTGTGCTGTAGGAGTTTGGGAGGAGGCAGGGTGCCTCAATTATATTGTTTCAGGTCCTTTCCAACCTGAAGTCAGAATTGTGCAAAGGAGAGTTACCAGATACACTTGATCTCAGATGTGGGGGGGACCGGCCAGGAGGGGAGCAGCGATGACCATTTAAATTTGGCAGTGATAAGCTTCTAAAATCCTTAAATGGCTATAGGCCTACTACTCGCTGCATTTTGGTAAGCATTGCTTAATGAGATGAGCTTCCCATTTCACTTACTGATATGATGATAAACTCTCAGTCTTTTTTCCCCCCTGTATAAGGGTGGTCTCTGTTTTGCTTGCAGACAATTGGTACACCTAAAACTAGAGTTACCAGATGTCTTTCAAAAAAATACCGGACACACAATCTCAGAATGGGAGGTGGGGGGACCGGCCAGGAGAGGAGACAGTTTGATCTGGAGGGAGTCAGGGGCAGGGGAGATAGGGAGGAGGAGGAGTGGGGGAGAACTGGCTGGCAGGAAGCAGGGCTGGTTGGGGGCAGTGGGGCTGGCTGGAGGAGAGCAGCTGGTGGGAAGTGGGGCTGGCCGGGAAGGGAGCGGGGGGAGAGAATTGGCCAGACGGGAGTGGAACTGACCTGGGCGCACGCAGATCCCGGGGCACTGCCCGTCCCATGCACGGTCCTGGCGCAGCACAAACGAGTCCAGCCCCAAAGATTCCCTCCTGCCCCTGGCCTCACCCCCTCCCGGCTGGCTGGAGGAGAGCAGCTGGTGGGAAGTGGGGCTGGCCGGGAAGGGAGCGGGGGGAGAGAATTGGCCAGACGGGAGTGGAACTGACCTGGGCGCACGCAGATCCCGGGGCACTGCCCGTCCCATGCACGGTCCTGGCGCAGCACAAACGAGTCCAGCCCCAAAGATTCCCTCCTGCCCCTGGCCTCACCCCCTCCCTCACATAGTTGTGTAATGCTTGGCTGGCAACGTGAGCGTGTCTACCAGCCAGGCAGTTCGCAACTATGTACTGATACTCCTAATTATAATAAAACGTACCTAATTAGAAAATACTCATTATTGTCCGGTATTTTATGTGTCTGGTATGTTCTCAATTTGTTTCCCGGGCAGAAAGCTGAAATACTGGACTGTCTGGTTCAAAACCGGACAGCTGGCAACCCTAGCGCAAAGGTGGCTTAAAGCTGCTTTGGCCCTCTCCCTTTGGTTGCCCTTGTGTGTGCAGTGCCTTGAGCAGTTGGTTTTCAGACTGTGGATTGTGACCCAATACTGGGTCATGGAATTTCAGAGTCTGGATCTCATTCCTGCAGGGGCATTAGTGGGGGTGCTAAGGCAGCTACTTGCAGGCTGAGCTGTGCCCTAGAAGCAGCTAGTAACAGTCCCAGGTCCTAAGCAAGGGTGCAGAGCAGAAGAGTGCACAGGACTTCACACACTGCCCATGCCCTGAGCACTAGCTCTGCACTCCCATTGGCTGGGAACCTGCTGCTAGGTGCTACTGGGGCTCAGCATAGTCTGCAGTGCCAGGACAGGCAGGAAGCTGCCTTAGTACCCTCTCTGCACTGCTGACTGGGAGCTGCTCAAGGTAAGCCTCTCCTGCCCCAGCCCTGACCCACCCTCACAGCTGAAGCTCTCATGCTCAACTCCACTCCTGAACACACACTTTAGTGGAAATATGTTAGGTCGTGGGCACCAACAATTTTCTTCAGCAGGGTCATGAGAAAAAGAGTTTGAAAACCCCTGTCCTCGATACACGGAACAAACAGCCGCCCTCAGCCTGTACATCTCAGCCCAACTCCCATCCTTGGTTCATGCAGCCCTGACACAGCCAGGTGGCCGGAAGCCCGCACACACTGCGACGGATTCCTTGGATACAGAAAAGCAGCAGTCACTTACTCCAGCTTCTCTAACTTGCACTTTGGGTGTCTGAGTCCTTCACACAGAAGCGTCACTCCTGAACCAGTCAGGTTATTACCGCTCAGGTTCAGCTCTCGCAGGGACTGGTTGGTGCTGAGCAGAGAGGAGAGATCTCCACAGCAGGCATCAGTGAGACGGCAATCCCAAACCCTGCAGAGACGGAGATGGGCAGAGTGAAGAGAGAGCAGAGTACCTAAAGGTCCCAATTTTATAGGGACAGTCCCGCAGAAAATGGATTTTCATGCGGCTTTTATGAATTTATGTATATAAGACCAAGTGTACAAAACCTACATTTACCTGCCCAGATGTCTACACTTATAATTCAGTAACTGTATATCCATTTGCTCCTGCAAATGCAGGTGATTTCATAAATGAAAATAGGACTTCGAAATATTGCCAACACGAAATCAGAGAGCATCTTTGAAAAGGCTGGTTTAACAAGGGAAGTCTCAAGGAACCCAGCAGTGACTTACACTAGTTTCTGCAGTTTACATGTGGGATGTTTCAGTCCTTCACACAGAAGTTTGATTCCTGAATCTCCCAGTTTATTTCCACTGAGTTCCAGCTCCGTCAGGGACTGGTTTGTCTCAAAGGCAGCAGAGAGATCTCCACAGCAAGCAGCTGTGAGACTGCACTGCCACAGCCTGCCAAGGGAACAGAGAGAAGAATAACATCTCCTTCCAGAAAGGTGTCAGTATTCACTTCACTTAGTGGTCCAATGTCTGTAAAATATCTATGCCTGTCACCAAAGCATTTTAATTATTATAATTAATCACAGCAGTGCCAGTTTAGCCAGAATTGTAGACAAGCTAAAAAAACTCCTTTGAAAAGGCAGTTTCAAGTTCTTCAACCTCTGCCATGAGAAAAAAATATAGAAAATAGGGAAAACAGACCCTTTAATGCTCATCTTGGTGCACTGGAAATAATTAACTGGGAGCATCGGGTATGTCAACCTGTAACTGATTTTTAAACTTCTGTCTATAACTGGGGTGGAGAACCTTTTTCTGGGTTGGGGGCTGCTAAGTAGATTTTGTGGGCTCCAACCCCACAGTGGGAGGGCAGGGGGACTGGAATGCCAGCTCCCCAATACCAGGGCCAGATCCAGGCAAGCCAGGGGCTGCAGGTTCCCTACCCCGGTCTATAATGTTGCACCATGTACCACACAGCAGAGACCACAGACAGGGAAGATGCGCATTACAGTGTACAGTGGCCATGGTTAACAAGCTGAATTCTCCAAGGGCTTTGGTCATTTACTAGACTAGTGGAATGCCCTACCCGTTCCCCTGCAGGTTTCTTGCCTACACCCATGATTCTTGATTCACTCTTATTTTTAAATGAAGACATGATCAACTGATATTTTTTTAAAGTGACAAACACAAAGCCATTGCCTTTTGGAAACAAAGTTAAAATTATTCAAAAAATTCATCATGTTTCTTTCAGGTGTTTCAACAAGTTTCACTACCAGTCCTGCCCCCCTGCTGCCACCTGGGTCAAAGGGGGAATTGGGCTCTATCCTGCTTAGCTGCATCACTAGCTACCCTGACTCAGCTGAGCGCTGTGACAAGGGCAGGAAATCTGTAAGTGTGAACCTTAGACCTAAAACACCTCACTGGGCCAGACACTAGAGATTGTGAGTCAACAGAAAGGAGCAGAGAATAAGAACTTGCCAGTCCTCTTCTTTCTGCACTTGCAAACCTCAATGTCATAGGGTATATCTATACTTGCTTCCTCTTTCGAGAGAGGAATGCAAATATAGACATTTGAAATTGCAAATGAAGCTGGGATTTAAATATCCTGCGCTTCATTTGCATATTCACAAATGAGTGCTATTTCGAAATACCCTATTTCAAAACACAAAACGCTGTTTAGACGTCGTTATTTTGGGAGAAAACCCTTCTTCTGAAATAACTCTTACTCCTTATAAAAATGAGGTTTACCGGTTATTTCAGAAGAAGGGGTTTCTCCCAAAATAACCACGTCTAAACAGCGTTTTGTATTTCAAAATAGGGTATGTTGAAATAGCGTCCGTCTGCGAATATGCAAATGAAGCACAGGATATTTAAATCCCAGCTTCATTTGCAATTTCGAATGTCTACATTTGCATTCCTCTCTCGAAAGAGGAAGCAAGTGTAGACATACCCATATAGAATCCCTCATATAATGGGTCATTTTCACTCCATACAAATCTGAATGTGAATTTTTAGTAGCCCTGTTCCCAACATGGTATCTCCCTCCCAACCAGAATTAGCTGGGGTCAGGGACTGCGAACTAGGGAGTTATTTTGTTCACACACTTGGGTTTATTTAGGACAGAAGAGCCAGAGTCCAGTAGTTTTGGGAGGGAAAGTATCCTGGTGGTGGGAAATGGGGTAGATCAGTGGTTCCCAACCTTGTTTGAGCATATGGACCCCTTTTCAATCTATTAAAATGTTATTGACCTCACCTCCCCTCAGGGGAGAAGAAAAAGAAAAGTAAGGAAAAAGGGAAAAAGAAAAAGAGAAAAGAAAAGTAAGGATCGGGCCCATCACAGTGGATCCGATCTTTACATTTAAAAAAAGAACAACAAATAGTCTAGTACAGGGGTGGCCAACCTGTAAGTGGTGAATAGAGTGCGAAGAGCCATGTACTGGGGGGGATGGGGGGGGAGAGTTGTTGAGAAAAAAAAAGCTGCGCTGGGGAAAACGGGGGAAAACAGAAAGCAGGTGCCGGTAAACTGTCCTAGGGCATACCGTCACAAAAAAAGGGGAAGGGATGAGAGGGGCAAGCCCTGGGAGGGAACTTTGGAGCAGGAGGAAGTAGAGAAGGGGATGCTGGCTCAGGGAAGGGGCTGCAGGCTGGGGAGTGTTAGGGTCAGATGGAGGATTGGGGTGCTGAGCAAGCTGCAGGCTTGTGGCTGTGAGGGTGCAGGAGTTTGGGCTGGGGTATATAGGGGCTCAGGGGCAGGGAGGCTGGGAGTATGATGGGCTGAGGACACAGATTTGCAGTGTGTGGATGGTGCAGGAGTGTTGTGGGGGGGGGGAGTTTGGGGATGTGAGAGGCTCAGGACAGGGGGTTCCAGTGTATGATAAGCTCAGGTTTGGGGTTGGGGTGGTGGTGCAGGAGTGTTATGTTGCTGCAGCCAGATGGGGGTTTAGCCCCAACTGAGGGCATTTTGGCCACGCTTCATTTTTAAATAAAAATATTATGTCAAACACAAAATTTTTCAGCACTGTCTTTATTTATGAGAGGGGCGGGGAACCTGTTTTGAGTCAGGGGTCACTGACCCACAGAAAAGTCAATTGGGACCACACAAGTGAAATGCAAAAAACAACCCCTCCAAAAAACCCCAAACATCACTAATGTGGCCCCAACTGTGCTGGTGAGGGCAGGGGACAAAGTGCTGGAGCAAGGTGCTGGTGGGTGCTGGGGCAGGTGGCAGGGGACAAGGTGCTGGTGTAGGGAGGGGTCTGGCCAGGGGGAGGGGACAGGGACAGATTGGCTGGTTCCTGGGGATCCTGGATCTAAGGAAGCGGGTGGGCTGCTCTTCCCCTCCCCTCTCTTCTCTTCCCCTCCTATAAACAGCTGGCACACTTCCCCTCCCTGGGTCTGTCATTGGGCCAGGAACTTCCTCCCCCCCCGCTGCCTGCCTGTGCACGGAGTGTGTGTGTGTAGGAGTCCCAGGACTGCATGCCAACTCCAACTTCTCAGGAAGCACGTGCTTTTCCTCTGCTCCCCATGACAGCCGCGTGCTTCCTGAGAAGTTGGAGCGGGCGTGCAGTACGGGATTCCTACTCTCCCCCACACTCTAACCCAATCTCCCTCCCCTTCCTTTTCCGAGAGCCAGGCACACTCCACCCCCTGCTCTAACCCAACCCCTCTCTTCCCCCAACCTAATGCCCGGATCCTGGAACTACCGCTGCTATCACCATGTGCATCTTCCTCCAGGCGCTGGGGCGCATATGCTGAGCGGCCAGCTTTGAGGAGCATGTGCTGGCTGGGACACTATGTGCACCTCTTCCCAACCCAATCGCCCTCCCCTCCCCCAGAGCCAGGCACCCCCTGGCTCTAACCCAATCCTCCTTCCCCTCCCCCGATCCAGGCACCCACTGCTCTATTCTAATCCCCGTCCCTTCCCTCCCCAGAGCCAGGCACCCCACTGCTCTAACCCGTGTCCCAGAGCTGGAGCCACTGCCACCACCACCGCTACCACCATATGCCTCTCCCTCCAAGCATGGGGTGCATAAGTTGAGCAGCTGGCTTTGAGGAGTATGTGCTGGCTGGGATGCCATGCACACCCCCTCCCAAGTCAATCCCCCTCCACTCCCCCAGAGCCAGACACCCCCCCACTCTAACCCAATTCCCCCTCCCCCATCCCTCCCCTGGGCTGCAAAGACAAAA